GGGACAGACGTTAAAATTTCTTTAAAATGAAAGAGAGAGATTGTTAAACGAATCATACATAACAAATTTACAATTTTATTAAAATTTTCGAAGATAAGTTAGGTGGAAAGGCTTTAAAATATCTTTTAATTAAAAAAGATCGTTAAAACAATTATATACAATAAATCTACGATTTACCCGCATCTGACGCAAAAGGTATGATTGTCATAAAATTTTTAATTACGGGAGAGGCGGCTAAGTGGATATACTTAATTACAAATTTTCGTTTTAAGTGAAAGAAATCGTTGAGAGAACTAATTATATACGACAAATATTTATTATACGCTCTTTCATATCCGCGTTAATTTCTATTTTTGCGCTGCAACTGTCGACGTCTGTATATATTTCCGCCGCGTATATTATATCACGTGGATTTGACGGTTCGTGCGAAAATGTAACCGAGTAAATGAGAACTCGAGTATTTCGCGAAAGTCCGGGTAATTACTCGGATGCACGATGTATCCGGGTAACGGGATATCAATATCTCCAGTTTAAACCCGCGTTGTATCTCCGTCGAAAGTGTGTCTCCAGTGTCCTTCGGATTTAGTTTCCGCCCCGAAAGAGCTGCTGCTGTCACGCGCCTGGAAAGTCCGATCCGTAACAAAAACCTAAAGGGACATATTACGTGCGCGTATCGTGTAGCATGTGAGGACACTTCGGGCGAGTGTAATCACGTTGCTCACTTCGACTTTACGATTATAAGATTATATTTATTATATATTAATCGAATTTTCCCTTACTATTGAAACGTACCGTTTTACACCGTGCCGAAGCGCACGGCAATATACTTTCGCCACTAAAGAGAATCGATTGAAACGCGAGCCCTAGACGCGTCTGGTCATTCATCTTATATTTAGATGTCGACAAGAAAACGTAAAGCGCGAGTAAAATGTGCGCAAACGGCCGAAGAGGAGGAGAAGGAAGAAGTATCGAACGCTACCGAGTCGTTGTGGCGGGAATATGGGAAGAGGAAAACAATCGAGAGAATGAAAATCCTACGGTACGGAGGATACGCGTACGTTCGCGCGCGCGTGCGGTCCGCGAGATGGCCGAGGCGAAAACGAACAAAAACGTTTCATCGCATTTCTACCCGCGTGGTATCGTCGCACAACATCGGTTTTATTACCGGGGGGGCCCCTCGGTGCATCGACAAGTCAAGTGCAACGCGATACGTATCGTTTCCCGGCGGCGTTTTCGCTTCATGAAAATAATGCCGGTTTTTCCGACGCAGCCAGTTTTTCGTAAAGAGTACACACACACGCGCGACCGGATATTGGAATTTTCAATGGTCGTGTTCTGCGCCAGTAGGGACGGCGGACCGGCCATCGGGAAGGGACGGCGCATCGGGGTGCAACGAGCCGCGTGATTCATCGCGAAACGCGCGACGCGAGTCCGGCATGCGTCGTTGCGCGCATTCGAACAACGAATCATGCCTCTCGCCGCTATGTTGTGTCGTTCCTTGTGTGCGCACGATTTTATTAATTTCCCGTTATGCAAACGAGACCCCCTCCGGGATTTGACGCGCTCGAACCCTCCCCCCACTCTTTCTTCACTTTTGTGTCCCTATTTTCTCCCGTTTTTCTTTTTTCCTTTCCTTTTTCGCCCCACCAAGTACAATTCGAAACGAAATGTGCGCGCTGCAAGATAAAAATACCGATATCTGGACATTGACCTAAACCACGGGACATTCTTGTCGTTTTAGTTTTCTCAACTACGAATATACTAAACTTTCGATCATGAATATATGTAGAGGAGAATATGGGGTAATATCATTCGGTCAGTGGGTCAATGCCATTCTATAAGTTCCCGTCCTTTTGCGAGGAGCCGAAAGCAATATCAAACAAAATAAGTAAACATCGTGTGAGCATCGCATAAGTGTAAACATCGCTGACCGGCATCATCTCGAGGTCGTCGGGGTAATCCCGACCAAATCTCACTTTTCGCTTTTTTATCTGTTTCTTTGGTGCATATTTTTATGGGATTTTTCGCACCAGTCCATGTCATAGTAAACATCTATAGATATCCATTGCATTAAACTGACCCCGAATCTGATATTTCCTACCAGTTTTATAAGAGTTTCCGCTTGGATGACTTCCATTCTCCATTTTACCTTACATATATTTAATACGCACATATATTCTATATTATTGAAAGTTTAAATATTCGAATCTAAAGACCAAATTAATGAGAGCGTCCTGGTTTAAGTCCGGACATATCCGGGCATCGGTAACTTTTACGTTATTTGGTAGCGAAACACTCGTGCGAGATTCTCCACGCGGACGAGTAGCGCTCACGGTCGTAATATACAGTAAACACTGTCTGTTTGCCGTTCAATTACGTCTCCTGTTTTAGCACGGTAAACACGTAAGAAGCCATTCAAAAAGTTCAAAGTTCCTCTCGCTCATGAGTCTCGGAATATGTAAGATCGATGCGACCGTATATTTACCGCGTGTTTGCTCCGCACAACGCTAATCTCGAAATCAGATTACGAGAGCGGGCAAGCAAGCGAGTTCTCGCGCTTTTTTTGCCTCGCCAGGCAGCAACAGCTACGTGAGTGATCACCACGTTTCTCTAACCGTGGAATTAAGAGCCCATTAAACGTCTGTATTTTACATCAGGCACGTCGATTTAGTATTCGCGGTTTAAACGGGTGTGCAAATGTCAAGGTACTTAGAAAAGCTCGAGATATTCCGCGGGATTAATATTCGTGAATGTAAAATGCATTCTGTCAAAATTCTCTCTCTTTCTCGAGCGAGCGAGTGGTGCGATAATACAAACATTTCGAATATGCACACACACACGCGCGCGCGCGATGTTGCTGCGTTTTACACAAAGTTTAGTTAACAAGCACTTTCGTTAAGCCAAAATTAAGTGCAAAATATACGAATTACGTATGCACGTGCGCAAATTGAAAGGTCCGCGCGCAAAATTGGACGGGCTTTATTTTCATTCGCGTCGCCAAGTCCGAAGGACGAGCTCGCTCGAAATAAAAGCGTCATAAAATTTTACTGCATTCAATGTAACGCACTTTTTATTGGGTCTTTATTTGCTGGACGTCTGTTCGCGTCCCGTCGCATTTCGCGTTGGACGCCTCGCTGCGTACCGTCGCTATTTTTAATGTTTCGCAAAATCGTCGCGAAGCACAACGTTATTAACAATATTTAATATGTACTGATATTACCAGAGACAGAGGGAGAGAGAGAGAGAGAGAGAGAGCTATGCATTATGTCGTTGTATATTCACCGGATATTCTTATCACGACGTGCGATCGCCGCGTGCATTTTCCAATCCCCGCTTCCGACGCGGAGTCGCGCGTAATATATATTATGCGCGCGTTAATTCGCTGTGTTCGCGCGCGCGTGCGCGAAAAAAGAGTGAGAGGGGGGGGGGGGGGNAAGAAGGGAGCGAGAGAGAGGAAAAAAGGAAGCGCCGCCGGCGCATGTAGCAACAGCGCGAATAATTAATTTATTGCCACTCGCGTAGCGTTTTAGCGGTAAATTTCAGCGTTTGTAAAACCGGCCGCCGTTGACAAAATGTCAACAGTGAAACTTTTAATCCCGTCAGACGGGCGCGCGTTCGCCGGGCGAGAGTGTTAATCGCTCGCGATTAAAACCGATGTGGAATTATTATCGGATCTCTCGTTTTCCCCGTCTCGCTTCTGCGATTTTGCATTTCGGTTATTTAGGTACCGCCGCGACTGCGAAACACGCGGCGGTGTGTCGGCCGCGATCATTTCGCGCCGGCACACATCGCGGCGCAACCCCGCGAGAATTCTCGCGTCGCATGCGAAGATATCGATGAGAGACTTTAATTCCCTTTTCGTCACACACGTGCGCACAGCGTACGTAATGGAAAATTAATTATCGCCCTGTCATCCCGCGTGTGACATCGCGGTTTATTCTCCATGGGAGAATTCCCTCCCCCCTCTGCCCCTCCCACCCCCTCGGGCTCTTTTTTTCTTTTTCTTTCTTTTGCGAACGCAACGCGTCGCGACGCGAGATTAAACAGAATGAAATTACGACGGGGCAAAATCGTTGCACGCTGCGGTCGGTTCGATTCGGCATTCGGTCGCGCAATATGTTCCGCCATTAATTTCGCATGGTTACTCTCTTCGATTATTCCTGCCGTGTGCGTGTGTGTGTGTGTGTGTGTGTGCTCGTTAAGAAAAATCTGCAGCTAATTAAACGTCGCGCACATTGCGCCCGCACAAAGGCCTAAAATCCGGGAAATTCGCGGTTTAAACTCGCGAAATCGCGTGTCCACGCGCGGAAAATGAAAACCTGATTTCCGGGGGGGGGGGGGGGACAGATGGGACAGGTGCCCGAACACGCATTATTTTTCGCCCGGTTGTGAAAAGCGCAAGCGCGCCGGTCTTTGTACAGCGCTAGACACCGCGAATTTGGATTACCAAACGAGCCGACGGCGAGCGCGAATCCGGTAACCGTGAAAATTGAATTATTAATCAACTTGACGCGGCTATCGCGGAATTAATATCAAAGAATAAATATTTGGCAGCTCCCCGCTCTGTTTCGCTGTTATTAATTGAAGGTCTAATTAATTAAATAGGAGATTCGCTCTCACCGTTGCGTTTAATACGATGCACGCTAAGCTGCGCGCCGTTTGCACGCGACCGCCGGATCCGCCCGGTGCTGTGATTCGTGCAAACACGCGGAACACGCGATTTTTCCGCGAGCAGATCTTACGAGTGTGCAGCCCCGAAGTTCGCTACTGTGTACTGTAAACAAGCCATTAGGAGAGAGGAGAAGGCGGGCGGAGAGCGCGTGCGGACGGAGTCGCGCACGTTTGCAATTCTCTATATCTCCCTATCTCTTTCTCTCTCTCTCTTTCTCTCTCGCCCGCCCGGGTTGTTTCTGTGTTCATCCTTTTGTCTGTTCGCGCCGCTCCGAACTCCCACGACACGCATAACTTACTCACGTCCCCGTTTCCTCGTCGTGTTTCAGGAAGATGCGGGCACGGGTCGCCGTGCGAGCAGCTCTGCTATGAGCTCCACGATGGCATGTACGAGTGCGACTGCAGAGACGGCTATATACTTCATAAAAATGGATACAGTTGCGCAGGTGAGTAGTCGATTCGATCTTTATACCGGTCGCGCCGATGGCCGCCGATTCGCATTCATGGCGAGCGGCGTCTTTGATTTCCCTGACAAAATTCCGCCGAGTTTCGCGCTCCGACGAGTCTCCCCCGCGTACACGGACGGCCGTATTGTTTTTAGGGGAAGCGCTACCGCTCCACCGTGAAATATCTCGTTTTGATTCCGGGAAGCGATATCACGAACGCTCCGGAAGCGCTCTCTTTCTCTCTCTTTCTCTGTATGAGCGCGCCTTCTCGCCCCCCCCCCCCCCCAATGTTTTTTTTTTNTTCGCCGTCCGATGAGTACAAATTTCGTCGTATTCGAGGTGTAGGTATTTTATGTTTGTTCAACTCTCTCAACAGTCTACGCTGAGAGAAAAATACGTTATCGTGGCAGCTATAAAGGTGATTGTTAATGGATATATGGTTTAATAAATTACTTTTATAATTTCTATAATAAGAAATGAGGCCGGAAATGACTATAATTTCTCTCAGTATATGTTTCATTAGAGTTGTGCAAATCTTTATCGAGGCTGGTTGGAGGTTACAAAGAATTAAAATTTCGACTCGAGACGACACATATTTTTTTTTTAATTTCGTGGTTTACGGTTATTCCTGTGTATTTCTCTGGGACGTACTCTCTAATTCGCGCGTTCTAAGCCCAAGAGATTCGCGAATGTGAAATGGAGCCGTCTGCGTGCGAGTTGTGTTTAATTACTGCATCGTGCGAGATTAAAAGAAAAAAGAAAAAGGAAAACAACGGCTGAACGATAATCCCCGGTGATTTGGTGTTTTCAATTGCCCGGTAACAGCCGTGGAAATGATAACACAATCCGCATGGCGCGCGCGCGGAATTTATTTAACGCACCGTCGAAAAATTACGAGGTGCGAGGTAGGAGGATCCGCGCTGCAAATTTATCCCGACAATCTCAAGTTCAAGCTGTTTACAGTGCACCGTGCCCGTATTAAAGGTAATATCTCATTTCGCAGGCGGAATTGCGCGCGGCGGAATACATTTCGCGTCGCTTATGAAATACGGACGCGAAACGGACGGGCATTGTGAGAGAAAAAAATACGGGCAAAATTATCCATAAATCACGCTCGAATTTTAGAGACGGGGTTCCCCAGCCCGTGATTCATCGTCGGCCTAATCGTACGCGCGGCTTTTCGAACTGTGGCGATGGTCGTTCTCGTAGGTCGCGCGCTCCCATAAATCCGATACGCATAATCGGCGCGCGCGTCACCGACGAGCCGCCGTTCGAATTATCGGCGTTTGATCTTAATTTATCGGGACGCGCAATCTATCCGATCACTCGCGAAGCCGCAAAAGCCGATCGGTCGTTCGACGGATTCGCCGGTAGTGGGCGAAAAATGAGGAAAAATCAAATCTCGCCGAAGCGAAAAGGTGTCGGCCGCAAATTGTTCGGAATTAATTTCACGCCGGCGAATTAATCGCGTCTGCTTCACGGTGCGCATCCGGCGACTGCTGCGGCAAAATTACACGGTTTCGTATACGTCCGACAGACATTTTTCTCGCGGACGCGGCCGGGAAATTCGGTAGGGAAGTTCATCGAGGCGCGATCGCCTCTGTTAATTGCTTTCCGATTGTTTGTTCGCGAAATTCTATTTATTACGGGTTCGCCCTCAATCGCGGAATGCTTATCTCGGTACACCCGTGGCCAAAGTTTTCCCTTCTCGTGTTGCTGCGTTGAATTCGCCACCCATCATGACGACGACGACGACGATTTCTCCCGGAGAAGCTCCGTGGACGGGCACGTCTTCGTTTGTCCATCGGAATCAGAGCGGAATCTCGAGCAGTGTTATAACAGATACATTTTCTGAAGTAACTGGATACAGACACTGAAGAGGAAATGTGAGTAAATATAGATGCAGATATAAGTTTGAGGTAAATAACTAGATATAGATACGTATATTATTTTTCCTTTTCAGTATCTGTTTTTGTATCTAGTTACTTAGAAAAACGTATTTACTACAACATCGGTTTCAAGGATCCGAGCCGAGAAATTCTGATAAATTCGCAAATTTGCAAATCGGAAGTGCATCAGCTTCGCCAGTGTCGATATCGGTGTCTTAATATCGCTTCGCGCGAGAATCGCGATAAAGGATTAGCGAGCTGCGTCTCTCGCGTGTTTGCCTCCGCGCTTGCCCCATCGTTTGCATTGATTTGTCTATTTATCTATGAAGTATGATGGACTCGGCACGATTGAATTAATGCCCATTGTTGCCGATTCAAACATGTATACTAATATTAGCTTTTCATTGCGGGTCTGCGTGTGCAATTCATTAACGATATTATTGTATAACAAATGTGATATTATTCAACCGGGTGTCAAATATTTGCGAACGCCAGATGTATCATCATGCGCGGTCGAATGTGGCTGTTTCGTCAAAAACTCGATCAATTGTTTGCTATGACGATCCATTTCGAGTAAACGAGAGATAATGCGATCCCGATCGTCGGTTGCGTGTCGCGCCAAGCGAATGAAATTCTTTTTTATTCACTTTGTTTGAATCGAGGAAAATTTAAGTAAAAAATTCGACGTAGAGTATATGCAAGCACAGAATGTGTTTGTTGAAATTAGAAGTTACAGTCAAGGGAACAGAATAAAATATCTTATAATCTAAATATCTTATTATACTGACGTCGTACCGAAATTCATGAATACCGGTATTGTGCAAAATTTCAATATTGGATTTGAAATACCGATATTATGCCGAAATTTTCATAGTACTGGTATTCATACAAATCGGTTTTTTTTTAGGTTGTTCTATAATACCGATATGAAAACAGCATTTTTGATGCCGGTTTCAACCCCTGATATAAAATGGTTAACTTCTATTACTACTTCATATTTGCAACTTTCATATAATTTCAATTGAAATATTATCTCATGGTAAAAAAAAATGTATATAGATTGGTCTCGTTACATGTCTGTATTGTTACAATCCATATCACAGCGATATTTATTATGTATAATTCTCCTGATTATAATTTTTTAACTATGCCGTTTTGTTTTAGCTCCATATACCATACACTTTTCTCTCAGTATAGATCCAGCCGAATTCATTTTTCAGTGTGTGTGTGTGTGTGTGTGTGCCTCACGGCGGCGGATTTTTTCAAATTGAACAAACACCCTCCGTGATCCCCCCTCTCTTTCAAGCTTAAAATTCCAGCCCTCTTGGACCTCTACCTCGCGCCATTCCGCTTATTACAAAGTCCGCAATGCGCAATACCGCGGAGGTAACGCCGATAGTCATCGACATTAACATCGATCGCTGATGGTTCGTTCGTTCATTCTCCCGTAACGGCGAAACGATCGCGCTACGATCACCATTCCTTTAATAACGCGATTACGGCCAGTCTTGGAACGGCCGCCACTATGAGAGCGTCCATTCTAAATCGAGCTTGCAATCGCGTTCCGATCGGAATCGCCGGAGTTTCAGGAATACTCCGAAGAGCTCACCGATGTGCTTCGGACTGTTTCTCGGGGTTTTTTAAATATGGTGAATACCGTTGCCGCACTCCACGCGCACTTACGTGCAATTTTGCTTTCGCCCTCCTGCATACCGCGAAAGCGTATAATGCGCGAAATGCATTTCGTGCCTCATAAGATTCGCGTGCTACCGCCGCCCGGCCGCTCGACCTTAAAAAACCGGCAGAATGGGATTTTTTCGCGTGTTGACACACGTGTATTTTCTTTTTCTCACCACGCTACAATATTACCGGGAGGAAAACAAATGGAATAACAGCAATCTCACTATATTTTATAGTCAATTTTGGCCGCGACCACACATTTCTGGTTCTTTTAAGTAAAATATAGCAAAGTGAGCGGATTTCTATTTGTAAATTTATACGGATTGTTCATACTATGCCTATATCGTAATTATAACTCACATTATAGTAACATTTGTTATAGTTACGGTTTTATTGTAATGTGTCTGTAATTTTTTAACAGTACCATTACACGATAGAAAATTTTGTGTAAATAATGGTCCGCTGAAATTTTTGCTACTTTAACATGGGAATTAAAAAAATGCACAAATATATATAAAATTAACGTATTCATCTTATTAACATTATTTTTTCACATATTTATCTTGTCAAAGTAACTCAGAAATTTCAGCGGACCGTTATTTACACAAAATGTTTTACCGTGTATACTTTCAAGTATTATGCATTCTCTTTCGGTAAACATTTTAACATATCATTATTTAGCGGAGAATTTTATCTTCATGCCATTTATTCTACGTGATTTCTTCATGCTGTTTCTTCGACGTAACTTTTTCAACTAATAACTGTAAACCGTCTTTTTCATGTGATTATTGTTTCGAGCTTGCCATTGGATCAAACGCTTGAATTGACGGAAATCTCGGGAAGCTTGTGGGCTTAAATTCTCCAATATTACGGAACTCGAGCGAAAATTCTTTCGCGCTTTTGGCGAAATTTTACGATCGCGTCGCGCGCGTCTGCATTTCGAGTATACTTTTTATGAATCTATAAAATTGAGATTAATGTCGATTAAACCCTATCAGGATGCGTTATTTGAATAAAAACAGCCGGCGTCAAAGGCCTTTGAAGATTCCCTCCCTCGGCAAGTTCAAGGAGGCACCGGCCGGAATGAAAGCTCCGTACGACAGGCCTATTAAATTTTAAACGTTCGGATTAAATGCCGGGAGCGCGGCGCCCACCGCCACTCGATCCGCCGGCGAATATCGCGTCGGAATGTCGGTGTGCAAGGAAGTTGGAAAGAAACGGTCGAGTATTCCCCTCGAAAGCCCGGTGGCTTTCGGACAAAGCGCGCGCGGCCGTCACTATCGAGCGTAATTGCCGCGACGAACGTCAGCGTCGGGACGTTATTGCCTTGCTCGCGGGAACAAATAAATTGCGTGCGAAATCCACGTGGCCGAATGAGCGAGGAGAAATTCGAGTCGGCAAACACGGACTTCCGGCGGGGAGGATCCTGAGAAGGATCCTGTGGAGGAGGTCCGCAGGAGCGACTATTTCAGGCGGACTCCGCTTTCAACGTAAATTAACTAAATATAAATGTAAATTCAATCAAGTGTCGACGTTTGTGGGAAAGGGACGGGGACCCTTTGTGATTCATTTGCGCGGCCGTTGGCTTGAAAAAGGTATATCGCTCGTAGAGAATTGCAGCTATTCTTCCCATCGCAATCCCATCTCGTCACGTGACGCTCTTAATGCTCGAATGACGTTTCGGCAATTACGCTTTATTTCATTTAGCTTTATCACCTGTGACAGTTTGTCTGTTTGTCTCTTTCTCTGGTTACACAGTGACGTAAGTGTATCCGAGAATCGATAATTGTGCACTTATTTTCGTTCCAACTCTCGCGTACAAAAATCATTAGCGGGATAAGCATTGATGATCCAACCGGGAAATAAAGTGTGCGCTTATATAAATGTCTTTGAAATATTTCGGCGTTTATTCGGGAGCAATTTTCAATTCACGATGAATGCGCAGTTCGACTGAGGTATTCACACGGTAGTGTGATATAGAGCGCGGAAAAAGTTCGGTTGGACTTACCCGACAATGAACGAACCAAATGTGTTTTGATCGGAAAGGAATAACATTTCTGGCTCTTTTACATCAAATTCGATTTTTACACTCGAAAAATTTTGCATTAAAATCGGTCCGCTGAAATTTTGTTAACACATGAGGAATGTGTTAAGAAATACACAAATATGTATTAAAAAGTACACAAATATAATGTTGAACGTACGTTAACATGGTTTAACATTATATTTACATATTTCCCAACACATCTCTTCCCTCCATGTTAAAGGAACACCAAATTTCAGTGGATTGTTTTTAACACGAATTTTTCTTACCGTGTATAACTCTGTTTCCTTCAACCAAAATGCGCACTTTGTTTGCGTTCATTGCCACGCAAATTCGACCAAACTTTTTCCTCCCGTGAGTTATCGAAAATACAATGGGAACGAATGACCGGATCGAGCGAACCGCGATAAAAATTATATCGCGGCGTTTAGAGGAGCCCTCGAACGCAGCATCCCTCGACGCCGAGTCTCTTTCGGGAGTAATCGAAAAACGGCACGAGAAAGTAAGAACTGTGAGAATCAGGTACTCTCACACACACACACACACGCGCGTACGTCACGTACACACACGCGAAGTAAACTCACCCTGATGAGTTCCAGTCCCGCAAATTGGATAGTCAGCGGGCTTACGTGTAAAATTGCATCATCATATCGTGTAGTTTTTTGATTGCTCCCAACGGAAAAGGAGGAGGAGGAGGAGGAAGCGGCGGCAGCAGCACGGGATAAACTGTGTGTCCGCCGTGTGACGTTCCCTTCTTGTCTCGTGGAGCCGCTGGATTTCCGAGGAGTGTTGACACGGCAATCAAGAACCACGTCCTGTATTTTTCATCTATAAAACACTTCTCTCTCTCTCTCTCTCTCTCTCGTCCTCCCTGGAAAGCGCGCTGGACTCGTCGATTCTTCACGCACCGCGATTGCGGTCGATTGTTGACCATCGCCACGAGGGCCGTAATCGCGGCGTGTCCATCGCGACAATGTGGCGTTAAAGCTTCACCGCCTATAATAGCGTAGGCCCTGTCGATCCTGCAAGGCCATTTGCCAATGTCGCGCTGCCGGATCGGGTGTCAATCGATCCACGTTAACCGCAAAATAGGATCGATCAGCGTGAGTAACTATCGGTTAGCTTTGCCGGTTGTGTTCTGTAAACGGCGAAAGGTGCCGCGCGTTGAATCGCGCATCGGAGAACACAAAAGCCGAATTGCTTTCCTCCTCCTCGAATCGCGTTCGACGTTGTCGAACGGACCAACGGAACGGATCTGACGTACACGATGTGCGCATGCGGTTTGTTTTCACCGCACCGGCCGATCTCATTCGCGAAGAGACTGCGTTGCCTACTCAGAAGATCCACTGATCGTGGGATTTTTGCACTGCTGTCGGACCACGAATATGTTATGCGTTCAATGAGAGCGAGATAGATAGGTAAGCAGAGAAAGCATTATTTATTGTGCGATTCTCACGAGACGCAATTGCCTAAAGCGTTGTGACAAACAACACCGACGGAAAAGTATTTGGGTATTTGTAATTATAATCATCGTGATGAAAAAATTGTAGTCAGAATAATTTTTCTAGTAAATGTCGCTTTAGTATCAATGATAATAACTTTACTTGCACATTCCTACTATTATATATATGTAATTTATATTATTCCATATAATTGCGCTAATCTTCAAAATTCCCACCATCGTCCCTGGCTGTTTCGAGTTTTCGCGCACACTTCCGGGCTCGCAGACAGAATCGAAGTGTGTTCAACGCGCGAGACGTACGCGCGTTGTGCCTGGGTGTAAATAAATTTTCCCGAATACGAAACCCAATACGCGAGCTAACAGAGCTAACGAAACCCGGCACAGTCCGCGTGCGCGCGCGCGCGCCGGCCATCGATCCGGCCGCTCATGTATCTCTCGTTTCGGCTGACTTTCGACGCCGGCCGCGTTCGCGTTATTATTCCGCAAGCCCGGTAATAACCAAATTAACGCTATACACGAATTTCCGATGCGGCTCACGTAGTTGTGTGTGCGCGCGCGCGCGGCTTACGCCGGGGCGACGTAAGCGTAAGCGCCCCGAAGTTCGGTATCGCGAGCTTGCCTCGAGCGATCGACGGGGCTTTGGTCCCTACTGTCGTTGCTCTCTCTCTCTCTCTCCCTCCCCCTCTCAGCCCCTCGTCCTCGTCTACGGCAACACGAACGGGGTAAGTGAGTTTGGGTCAGCGTTCAAGGAACTCGAAGAGCACTATCCACTACCTCGGCCTCCGCGTAGTCTGTGTGAGTCGCACACGGACGCTCGTGAAAACTCGTGCGCGACCAACGGATAAGTTCCTAACGACCCTTCACCTCGGTGCCACCAGTGCCGGTTGCATGTGCGACGAACCAGTCGTGTTGCATGTGCAACAGTTCGTGAGATTCTTAGCGCTGTTAGAGGACCACCAATGCGTTGTACGTTTAATGAGAGAGAGAGAGGGAGAGGGAAAGGAGAAAGAAGGAGTTAACACGTTGCTAACCGATATCGGCTAGATCTACCCTCTTCTCTGTGACCGTCGATCGTCCGATTAACCTAAACTTCTCATGATTCCGGAAAGAAGTTATTTTTACTTTTTAACATCTCATTGTATCGACTCTTGCGTTGCGAGAATGATAAAAATTCAGGTCAAGACATGTTACTGCGTAGTCTTTAAAATGGAATCAGTATTATTACTGAAAACAGTGAAATCAGTCGCGATATACATACCTTTTGATGTCTGGTGAGATGCGATTCGCGCAGTTAGCAATGTGTCAGGAGCGACAGAATTGCGCTAATCTTCGAATTCCACCGAATGTCGACGTTTGCCGTGTACGGCGCGTGCGAACGCGATCTGGCGCCGATTTATTGGTGGGTGGATGGGGAGGGGGTTTCTGTTTATTCGCAAACAAACGTGAAGATCATTACGCCGCGTGTGTGGCATTCAAGTCCGCACTCAACGAAATTACGCCGGTTTCAATCACTCGTTCAATGGTTTATATCCGACGATCGCCGGCGTCGAGTTACTCTAATTGCAGATGCAGATGCGAACGCCGAGCTTCGTTAGCGTTCCCCCCTATATTTTTTTTTTTAATTAATGAAGTAATTCCCTATTGGATGGGTTGGGAAAAGCTGGACGCGCGAGCGCGCTCCACGGCCGTAATGAACAATTGGTTGTGTCTGATTCCGACAGCCCGATGAATTGATTCGAAAATCGAGGTCGAGACGGAAATATAGAAATTCACAGTCGTCTCTCGCTTCCTTAGTTAATAATAATTCGATTGGAGATTAATAAGTTGTCGCTCTCATTTAACCTTTATCGGCTGTCTCAGCGCAATGTCCTGATTCCGTCGTGTTATACCGTATTTTAGTGAGTGACTTTCCGGGTCGAAATTTTAATGCTGCTTTGAAGCTCTTAAGGACACTTTGCGTCTACTTACATAGCTTTTATAGACTAGTAATAACCTACTTTAACGACTATACTCGCTAAATCCTCTCTTAAACCTTTGATACCTAAAATCCTACCGTAAAACAACCCATTTCAACACTAAAAACTGCGAAAACGGAAATTTGAGATAGTCGGCCCGTAACAATACTGTTAAGAAAGTGACGGTTAATATAATTATATCACATTAATATAACACAAGGCAGCTCGACGAGTCCATGTTAATTGTTTATAAACACGATTGTTATATACAGCTTTGACACTGTGGCAAAAAAAATATCAAATTTACATAATGCTTAAAAATTCATAAAGAAATAATCGTTTTCTGTTGTTTCATGTTTTTCCTTTGTTTCCTTTATTCTTCGCTATTTTTTCTTTCGTACTTTAATGCTTGGATTATTAGCCAAGTACTAATGAAAGAAAAATTATTCCGAAAAGTAGAGGAAAATAATGGGAAAATCAGTATATTCGTGAGATTGCGATCATGGGTGAAAAATATCGCGACTAAGGATCAATATGTTCGATGAAAAGATTCGAAAAAAATTTGTGAGAAAATGAATTTACGGGCTAACTACCTTAAAACATTGTCGTAGACAAAACAGAAATAAATTGTATCGTTAGAATTGAGTCTATTTTGCTTATCGAGCCTGTCTTATTTCTTACCGTGCTGTGGAACCAAACGTTTAACATGGAGCCAAAATTTCGACTCGGTTCATCGGTTTACCGTAGTCAGTCGCTTTTCGATAGTATTCTCAAAAGGGAATACCTCGAAGGAGGTCACTCGTTGTTCGCCGGCAATGTTCAATATTCGACGATACACACGCATCCTTACAGTCGCGATCGGCGAAAGAACACTCTGTCGAGGCGAAGCCCGCGCGAAATTGGAAGAAGGATGAAGCCACGTCGGCTAATAGAACGACCTGTTATTCGTTTGCAGAGCTCAACTCGACGTCCCCGTCGACCAGCGAGCTCGGCGAGCTCGTCGACGAAATCGAGAGCGGCGAGGTGAACGCCGCGGACGACGAAGACGCGGTCGAGGACATCCTTTACATGCGCGGTGCAACCTTCACGATACATCTGGACACTTCGGCCGAAAATTCCAGTAGGAACGCGACGAAGATAAACGAGGAAAACGGCGCGGCGGATCGGGTCGAGCTGCGCGCCACGTCTCAGGTAAAACGTCACTCGCCATATTTCCCGGCTGGCTTGTCGTATTGCCTGCTGCGCGGCTGTTTGAACGTTGTTCCGGCCATCCGTTATGCGGGATTCCAGGGAGCGACGTTTAACAAAAAGAAAAGAAAACTAAAAAGGTGAGAAAAGAAAAATTCCAAGGTCCACCTGGGTGTGTGTACGTGTAATAAAAATACCGTGGCTCGACGTTAGAACTCCGAATATTTTACCGTGCGACGTACGGCCGGAGGGGACGCGTCGTCGCGGTTGTGCGCGCGTAACGACGAGAACCGTTGGAAATGCTGGCCGTCGCAGACAGAGCCGAGACATAAAAATCGCGAGATTCTTGCGCACTTCGACATTAATCCCGTCACAGTTATGAGGACGACGACTATCTGCTCCCGTTGTCTGAAGGATTCTCGGATAACCCGGGACATTGGGGAATCCGTGTCTCCCCCGGATCTCCCGAAAATCGGTCGATCAGCGCAATTATATCGGTAGTTCTTTCCTCAGGTGGAATACCGAGTTAAATACGAACGCCAGCCAGCGGAGGGTGCGTTAGTTCCTTTGGTTTGACTAACTGATATACGTAAACGCGAGTTCGAGCCATCGGTTGACCCGGAGCAAACGCTGGATATCATACGTGGGGCGGGGGGAGGGGAGGGTCAATATCTCAAGAATTCGCGCTAACTCCGGCAGATTTAATTGATTAATGCGCGTCTCCGCGTATTCGCATTCGTATTAAACGGGAGGAGAATCAATCGAACGTCGTCTTTGGGTCGAGCGCGCCGGAATAGAACATTCCGTAAAGGAATCCGTAAATGGGTATGCATGTGTCCGCCTCCCCCTCCCTCCTCCCCCCATGTACCGACTATAGAAATAGCGATTACGTGAAATCGAGCACAAGTGGGAATGTTCTCAACCGTAGGGAATCCTCCTTGGAACTGGAATTAATATTCACGATACGACGACGGCCGGAGGATGTAAAGTTTCGCCCCGCGAGATTGGGGATTCGACCGATTGTTGACGAACACGACGATCTAACGGGGGAACGGCTGCGCATGTGTGCGCTCGACGGAAATTACGAAACTTATTGATCTTCCTTCCCTTTCCTTTTTTTTCTCTCTCTTTCTCTCTTTTTTCCGTCTCAATATCGGTAGCGTCATCTCTCGTTTCGACAGCACATTCGAAAAATCAGAGATAAAATGACAACGGGGAGGAGGAGGGAGCGACGATCGTTGAACGGCTTACATGACGGGACAACGGTGAAATTAATATATGATTTCAACAAAATGCAAAATATACGCGAGAATCGTTGGAAATTAACCGGAATCATTGCAAATGAATAACGTTTAACGTCGATTGATTTGCGCGATATTATTAAAATTCGATGAAATTTAAATTTACATAAATTTACATAAATTTTCGATGATATTGAAATTTCGTTAACACGCCGCTCGCGACGAAGCCGGATCGACGACGATGCGAATTCGTTTCAAGTGATTTTCCTTTTCTACGAGCGAACGGGCATATAAAATTGAATATTTTGCGACATTCGACGTTAAACAGACGCCATAGCGTTCGCAGATACCGGGGTATCAATCTTTATTCAAAAGCCTCCTCAAATAAAAAACATGAGTCGTGCAACAGGTACTTCACGTCCGCTGCAGCTTTCTTAACATGCAGCAGGCTACGCCATTATTTCTGAAAATTTCTTGCCTCCCCCTCCGTATCGACAGCGATGAGCAGCAGGATCAATAAATGGCGATGGAGGTGTCGGGTAACGGATCATCCTCATAAATAATTTTCTTTGACCGCTCGTATCGTGCTCGTGCATTATCCTCCCGTATCGTTGTGTTACCGGAAACTTGTCGAGAAACGATTACTTGCTTGTGTGCGGAAGACAAAAAGTTTCGACAAAAGAAGACAAAAGAACTCAAAAAAAAAATATATATATATATATTCTCACCTTAATTCCGAATCAATGTTTCTCTCATGAGTAGTACGTTAGTTAGCATGGAGACCGTGAGATAAACGCGAGTCCACGGTAAACAAAGTACGAAAGTTTTTACCGTTTACGATTCTCCGCTCTGATTGTCCGCTAAAGGTCGTACGCATAAACAATGCCGTGTAGACTCGATTTGCGGCAGTTGTTCGAGGACGTTTGAATGAGAAGGGAGGCCGACCGTGAAAAGTGGTAAGCTCCGCGTTTTGTTCAGGAATACGGCGAGTTTGAAACATTTTCCAACAATATATAGTCAACCTTGAGCGTACGTAGTTACGACACACGTGTACCTGTACTTATGCAGAAAATTCTCGGCCCAAAATTTAACGCTACGGATCGAAGCAACTATATAAGAGCGAGAAATATTGTCTTACGTGTGTCATTTTTCATCCGATCTTCCATCTAGATCTGAATTTTCCCGTCGATCAAATCGGAGTGATTCGACGTAACACCGCCGATGACTGATTTCTTCCACCCGCGTGAATGTTCCAGGGTCCAAATCTGGAGCAAAAACTGCCATCCACGATGGAGAGCATCGTGAGTACCGAGCCAGCGTGTTCTTTGGATTGCGGACCGGCTGGAAATTGTTATATCGAGCAATCTCGCGGAGATGAAGTTGATGTGGTGATCGAGGAAGACGACGAGGGAGCCATGGATCTCGAGGGCAATAGCGTGAATCTCAGGCGAAGGCAAGGAACGTTCAGGCAGAGATGCCAGTGCCCACTTGGAAGGGGTGGAGATCGTTGTCAGCTCGGTGAGTGATATTTGCCCTTAACTTGCAATTCTTTCGTCTTCTCCGTGTACCCGGGTGCGTCAAGTCGCGTCTCTTTTCTCGCGCAAATATCGTACCGATGTACACAGAGTGATTTGCAAATTTCAATTTGTCGGATGGATCTCCTACTGAAATTGTAGAATGTTTCTTTCGCCGAAGAACAACGCAATTGTTGAATAACGAGCGAAGCGAAAGGGAGAAAAATTTTCCGCCAATTATGTGAACCGAGCGAGGAAGGTGGAAAGGAAGATAATAATAAACATTTAGTTCGCGTTTAACTTTCGTTCCGTAAGATCGATTCAGAGGAACAACCGCGCTTTCCGCTCCTCTTTCATCCTGTACAAAAACTCAATTCATGATCACGGTGAGACCAAATTAGTTAATGCATATTTTATGGCTAATCAAGGGACTCTACAGGTGAGGAAACATAAAAGATTAAGTACGGTCCTCCAGACCGATATTTTGCCCGGGAGCACATATAAAATTCAACTTACGAACTGAAAGTTAATTTCGAACGGACTTTCGCGGAATTTTAATTTCTCCAATATCCCCACGGTCGCGTTGGAATATTTAATATCGAAAATTAAAAAAAATTGCAATATGAACGACGTTCCCTAGATGTTTTTTCTGCGGTGGTACTCGTCCCGGTTTTAAACTCGACTTGATCTGTCTTTTCGTTTCATGCGGTGCACTCCCGAACCACACGTCCAAAAAAAGAACTTTCAACAAGAGAGAGAGAGAGAGAAAGAGAGAGACCCACATTGAGGTCACCGTAAATTTGCTTTGAAACTCGCTGTTCAAAAAAAGGGAGCAAAAAAGCGATATGTCCACAAAGAGAGCGGAGAGTGAGTTATCGGACACACGGCGCGCGTAATCTTTCATCCGTCGTTATCCGAACGAAGAAAACGCATTCAGAAGCGCAAAGTTAAACTCGATAAACAAGTGAGATCGACGGGAAGGAGGAAAGAGAGAGAGAGAGAGAGAGAGAGAGAGAGAAAGACAGTGATGACGGGTCGCGGTGAGTGATTTTCCTCGACGAAAAGTAAACTCGAGATCGCGGCGGGCGGTTGAATGGGTGGATAGCGCGACGCGCCCAAAGATTGAGGAATTGAAAACTTGTTCATCACCGGGGGGAGGGGCGAAGGGGCACGAACTTGGGGCGTCCGAAAGAGTACTGTTTTCGCTCCGGGGCCCGACGGTCGCGAGCTCTGCCCGTGCTCGACGATCGGATCCGTTTGCACCTGGCTGCTCCGACGGAAACTCCCAGGAAACTCGGCGCGGGACGCTTCGGTAATCTCGAACTTTTAACCCTTTGAGATGCCCGCTGCTCTCAACGCCTGCGCTTGGCCGTCCAGCAAATAACGTTAAACGCTCTCTCTCTCTCCCTCTCTCTCTCTCTCGCGCTTGCTCTATTTATGTATTCCTTCTCCTCTCGCCGAAGATCTTAGGAGACTCGCGATCGCATCGAGGATGTAAATTGCTGATGGCGTGTACGCGATTAAGAGCCCCGTACGTACACTAATGAAAATGGAAATTGCAACACCGTGAAAGCTACTATAGGTGGATCGAGCTCTCTCTCAGGCTTGGTCGCGCATAATACGATCGTTATCGATTCGCAGCTTGTCACCTGTTCCCTCGCTCATTCGCTGCTTGCGCATGCACATACCGACGTTATTTCGACCGATGTTACTTTTCTCGATACCGCTCGATGCGCTCATTTCGTAACGTTTGCGCCGGTTTCGCTTCCGCCACCGGGGGTGTCGTCGGATACGCCGTGTGAGAAATTCAATCGTTGTCAAGCAAATTTCGGATCGTCCGCCGGGGTACGACGGGGTACGTCGGGATAAACGGGGACGGCCGTAACCTCGCGAAACGCGAATTAACAACGCGGCGCAGGACGTATCCTCCTTGCTACCCATTGACCGTGCATCGATCTTGATTTTTATTGAATACGAGAGCGCGCTCGGAATGTGCGGATTAAACCGTCCGATATTCGGTTTAATCTTGCAGAGTGGTTTATATTGCATCATGGGATTGCGTGGGGATTAAGCGGCAGAAAAATTGCGGGCGGAGATCGATGCTTTATAGCTTGAAGTGTATGTTTTACGCTTCGGCCTGAGTGCTTTATAGCGCAGTTTCCGTACGTGACGCGAATCGATGCAAAAATTATGATACGTCAAAAGCGTTCGTTTCACAACCAGGCGGCGGCGAACGAGCTGTTGTGCGCGCGCGTTATCGCTTGCCGCGAATTCATCGAAATGAAATATATCTCGGAGCAATTTGACCACTCCTATTTCTCTGTACGTCATTTTCAGTTTAATCACGCGCGATTTACCGCGTTCTTAAAATTTATCTGTCAAAGCATCCATGCGCATCCATCGATTTCGGCCGATAAATATTTTGCGGAATATATATATATTCCGCAAAATATTTATATATATATATATATATCACTGCGGCGGCGGTGTGGCTGCAGCGAGGAAAATTATTCCATTATGGAGGACCGTTTAAAAAATCCGCCGCTGTTGCTATTATATTTATCACATATATTTATTATGCACGATGATAATGCAAAGCGACAATGCAATTACAAGGTTGTAACATTATTGTTCACAGTGACGCTCGTACTCACGCACGCTCGCGCACACACACACACACACACACACACACACACGTTCGCTCGCACGCGAATCAAGCGCCAGCAATTTACGTAGCGGACACGTTGATTGCGACGTTTGCGTTGCGCTCCGAATGCATTCGCATTACGAAGCCGGTTGTTTTATATTGACCTAGTACAGGATTATTCGCCACCTTGTTATTCGACGTGGCGAAATTAAGCCTCGCCGGGCGGCGCGGGAAAGGTAAAACCGCGAGGTAGGCGTTGCCTGCCGGTTAATCCCACTTGCGAAGGTTTAAAGCAAACGCGACCTGCAAACCCGAGTCGTCGTTGATTCCCTGTGCAAGATCTAACGAGCTTAATTTATTTTACCGGGTGACCCTCAGTACACCTCCCATGCAACGCGCAACCCGGTTTACACCAGTAAATATTTATTTTTCCGATTGTACGGCGAATACTTCCCGTTTTCGACATTCGACTCCGACGTTCGCCCGGTTGCGGCGAAATGCTCGCCTGTTCGAACGAGGAACACACCAATACCGCCACTCATTTCCTCTCCCGGCTACCGTCGGCGCCGAGCAGAAGAATGCACAGACGCGCCAAGAGAGCCGCAACGTTTATATAGAGACACCACGTAATAGACGTAAATTAATCTCTCGGTCTTCCTCCCCCGCCCCCTTTCCCCGTGCGATCCGTGATATCTCTCGTACGTGCTTATCGCGAACGTAAAGCAATTTAGATCTCGACACTGTGCGCATGTATATTGAGCTTAAGTGATTCTATATTTAAACACGGAGAGAAAGAATATATTTATTTTTCTTCTTTTGTGATAACACCGAGAAAAAAGTGATATGATATTGGAATTATGGCACAGTTACAAAATTATAGTCAGGAAAATTGTACAAAAAAGTTTTCTGTATCATTTCGCAAACGGTATGCAAAATTTCAAGTTGTTCATTATTGAAAATAGTCATATACAGAGGCTTATTTAATTTTAATGTTTGCAAAATGGTAGAGAACTTTTTTGTTCACTCCGTTCTATGCCCTCACGAAATTTGACCTTATTGTTCTGAAACAATTTACATATATATATAATATATGTATAGTAAATGTTACTATAATATGAGTTGTAACAATCATATAAACATAATGCGAACAGTCTATGTGTAACAACTTATACATTTTTTACCATAAAATATCATTTTAACTGTAATAATAATAAAGTTACAAGCATAAAATGGTAATGGGAATTAAGGTCTATTCGACAGTTATGTTACACGGCGAGGGGGGACGGGATCTATTAGCTCGCATGACGGTTTGTAATGGCAAGGAGGGAGGAGGGAAGAGTAAAGGCCATGAAACATCTCATTAAATGGTACTTATAAATAATGGATGTGCATGGTTATTCATTTTACATTCACGTGGCATATTTGGTTAAATTTAGTGAAAATTTCTTAGTTTCGACACGGTTTTGTGTCAATAATCAAAATGTTAATTTTTAATGTTTATTCCTTTAAAAACACTGACAAATGTTTATTCCTTTAAAACACTGACAAAACTTTGGATAAAAATTGACTGTAAAATATAAGAAGATTATAGTTGATCCAACAATCTTCTTCTTCTCTCGGTGAAGTGTATCGTCATAACGCCGGACTTTGGGGTTAATGGATAAAAAATGATAAGCAGGAATATCGGGCGCGCGAAGATAATAATGTTTGTAAATATATCGTAATGACCTCATGCGCCGTCACGCGGCTCCCACGCGGGCACGCTTATAAAACAAATCGCGCGATGCGGAATTAGAGGCGGGCGAACAATGGGCCCGACAGAACGAGAATGTTTAATAGTGATAAATTTCTCGCGCTATTTTGAAATTAATGCGAGATAAAGCGTAAGATAAGCCGCAATTCTGTGCCGTTATTTAAACGCGAAAATAGTATCTCCGGCGGCTTAGCTCGGCAACAAAAATTTACTAGCGGCCGCTGCCGAGACTTCTGGGCGTGTACATTCTAATAGTGATACATTATCTGGACTTTTAATATTACAAAGTGCAGCTCGGTAATTCCGCATCATCCGTCCGCCATCGCCGAGGTGAGAGACGGCGGCTTTGCCGTGATTTATGTCACGGTTGAAGCTGTGCGCGGCGCGATGAGCGGAAGAATTATTTTTTCGCAGCTGCGCTCCCCCTCCCTCTCTCTCTCTCTCTCACTCTCACTCACTCACTCTTTTTCTCGTTGCAGCCGGACGTAAATCAGAAAAACTTTCGTGCCGCTTCAGCCGAAACCGTGAAACCGTTTTCCGGACAATAACGTCGTTACGCGTTCGTAATATTTCGAATAGCTGCAGGCTGACTCGCTGAGAAGCG